AGTAGAGTGGTGTCCCAATTCTTAGGGGAATATTTTCACCCCTACCCCTTGACACTCTGTTTCAAGGGACAAGGGGAAGGGGTAGGCGGAGGGGTAGGGGAAGGGGAAGGGGTATAAAATAGAATTGGGATTGGGCCTTAAATTACTTATTAGTTGAATGCACAAGCACTCTTCTTCATAAGCATTTGAGTGTGTGGTTAAAAACTTGCCTAGAGCGCCATCTGCTTTTAAATACTAAGCTCAGAACCGATTCCAGATTCCAGAATTGCGATGCATTTGGAAAATCACAGAATCGATCCACGAATCGATTTATTGTGACACCCCTATATTTTAATATATTATAGATATTTTGTGTCTTATAATACAAATAATACTTGTCGATACTCTGTAGATTCTTCTAAAAATTGTATTGGAATCAGCAGTAGAAAAATTCTAAAATTACAATATTAGAATAGAACTGCATGTTTAGGTAGAAACGTGGCTTAAAGACAATTCCTATGTCTATGGTAACATCAACCGTAAAATTACACTAAAATAAAATCATAATTCAATCAACTTAACAGTTCAAATGATACAAGTTTTGACAAAAACAGCATACACAAAACCTCGCATTTCAGCCATTAAGAAATTAGGATGAGTCAAAATGGCAAATGATTTTGTTTATTATGTTTTATTGAAATATATTAATATTTAATTCTATATACTTTTTTGTATCGGTCTGAACAAATGTGGCAGATGGGCTGAATGAAAATGCAGAAGCAGAAATACAGTGGTTACCCAAGTTACCACTGTACACAAAGCAGCGCTGTAATTATAAAAATTTATTTGTTAAGCATACGTTGGGAGGATGCAAAGAAATGCCATCAAAACTTTTCTGAAGACAGCCAGTCCCCTCAGAGATAAATCCATCTAATTCAGTGTTTTTTTTTTTAAAGAAAAAAAAATTATTCTCGGATGTGCACAAATTTCAATGTCAGAACAGCAAATTTTGTCAAAAAGTAATGGGTTGGCAGAAATGCTAGAAACAGAGAAATAGTCATAGTGATGCTTGCCTCATGAAATAGGAACTCTAGTCCAGGAATCTGACAGCAGGCCTAGGAAAAGCATCTGTGCAGATACCGTTGAAAGGTCTGCCTGGGTGGGTTGCAGCCCGAGGTGGGACTCCAAGGGCTAACTAGGCAGCCAGCACCACCAGCTCAACATGAGGAGGCAACTAAGCCGCATGGCACAGCACTCCTGGTCGCCCGGTAACAGAATCCTGACACTCCGCTTAGCAGGCTCAGGGGGCACAGCCAAAGAAACGTCTACATGGGATTTTCCCCTTTTTATTTATGAGCTCACATCATGCAGTACAACATTACAGGGGAAATATAACCGTTTTGTTTATTTGTGAAATGAATATGGTATGTTTAGTTGGTATGAGTAGGATTTCAGCGGATGGAGGATACACATCCCCCCTCAAATCACAACGTCCCAGCTCTAATGGATGGCCTATGTCCAGGATCACGACAAGAGCATGTGGTCCAGAGGGGAGTCACGACGATGGCAGAGTTTGATGGCAGAGACCTGATGCGTCCCGTCCACGTAGCTATAAATCCACATTGCACTGCCAGTAAACAGCCAATAAAGGTGCAGCCGCACTAGCAACATTTTGGCAATATTTAGTGGACCAAAAAAGCGCCATTGTCTATTGACGATAGTATAGCGATGCATGAAGCAGTTTTCTGTCACGAATTTGTGTTATCAACTTGAACCTGCTGCAAAATGTCAAAATGTGTGTGGGGAAATTTTTCACACTTGTGCCAAATTCCTATTCAAATGACTGGATTTTGATGGAAAAAATTCTCTGAACAACGGTCAATATGACCACACCTTAAG